TGAGGGTTTTTGAAGATAATTTGGTGGGAAGGGGTTTGGGAAGTGGGGAGCGCTGATTGAGTCAGTTCTTGCATGAGTCAGTTCCTGGTTAAGAGCCACAAGACCAGTTTTATATAACTGTCTTTTAAAAATTAGTTTAAAGATCTGCTTTAGTTCTTTGTAAATTCTGGATATCAGCCCCTTGTCAGATGGGTAGACTGCAAAAATTTTTTCCCATTCTGTTGGTTGCCGATTCACTCTACTGACTGTTTCTTTTGCCGTGCAGAAGCTGTGGAGTTTGATTAGGTCCCATTTGTCTATTTTGGCTTTTGTTGCCATTGCTTTTGGTGTTTTGGTCATGAAGTCCTTGCCTACACCTATGTCCTGAATGGTTTTGCCTAGATTTTCTTGTAAGGTTTTTATGGTATTAGGTCTGATGTTTAAGTCTTTAATCCATCTGGAGTTAATTTTGGTGTAAGGTGTCAGGAAGGGGTCCTGTTTCTGCTTTCTGCACATGGCTAGCCAGTTTTCCCAACACCATTTATTAAACAGGGAGTCCTTTCCCCATTGCTTGTTTTTGTCAGGTTTGTCGAAGATCAGATGGTTGTGGGTATGTTGTATTTCCTGTGAGGCCTCTGTTCTGTTCCATTGGTCTATATCTCTGTTTTGGTACCAGTACCATGCTGTTTTGATTACTGTAGCCTTGTAGTATAGTTTGAAGTCCGGTAGTGTGATGCCTCCCACTTTGTTCTTTTTGCTTAGAATTGACTTGGCTATGCGGGCTCTCTTTTGGTTCCATATGAAGTTTAAGGTGTTTTTTTCCAGTTCTGTGAAGAAGGTCATTGGTAGCTTGATGGGAATAGCGTTGAATCTGTAAATTACTTTGGGCAGTATGGCCATTTTCACAAAGAACTAAAGCAGATCTACAAGAAAAAAACAAACAAGCCCATTCAAAAATGGGCAAAGGATATGAACAGATACTTTACAAAAGAAGACATACAGGAGGCCAACAAACATATGAAAAAATGCTCATCATCACTGGTCATCAGAGAAATGCAAATCAAAACCACATTGAGATACCATCTCACACCAGTTAGAATGGCGATCATTAAAAAATCGGGAAACAACAGATGCTGGAGAGGATGTGGAGAAATAGGAACACTTTTACACTGTTGGTGGGAATGTAAATTAATTCAACCATTGTGGAAGACAGTGTGGCGATTTCTCAAGGACCTAAAAATAGAAATCCCATTTGACCCAGCAATCCCATTACTGGGTATATATCCAAAGGATTATAAATCATTCTACTACAAGGACACGTGCACACGAATGTTCATTGCAGCACTGTTTACAATAGCAAAGACCTGGAACCAACCCAAATGCCCAACGATGATAGACTGGATAGGGAAAATGTGGTACATATACACCATGGAATATTATGCAGCCATCAAAAACGATGAGTTCACGTCCTTTATAGGGACATGGATGAACCTGGAAACCATCATTCTCAGCAAACTGACACAAGAGCAGAAAATCAAACACCGTATATTCTCGCTCATAGGCGGGTGTTGAACAATGAGAACACATGGACACAGGGAGGGGAGCACTACACACTGGGGTCTGTTGGGGGGAAATGGGGGAGGGGCGGGGGGTGGGGAGGTGGGAAGAGATAGCATGGGGAGAAATGACAGATACAGGTGAGGGGACGGAAGGCAGCAAAGCACACTGCCATGTGTGTACCTATGCAACAATCTTGCATGTTCATCACATGTACCCCAAAACCTAAAATGCAATAAAAAAAAAAAGAAAAAAAAAAATTGGCAAAGGACTTGAATAGACATATCTCAAAAGAAGAAATATAAATAGCCAACAGGTATATGAAAAAATGCTTGACAACTGTAATCATCAGGGAAATATAAATCAAAAGGAAAATGAGTTATCACCTCACACCTGTTAGAATGGCCATTATCAAAAAGATCAAAGATAACAGTGTTGGCCAGGATTTGGAGAAACAGGAATACTTGCACACTGTTGGTAGTAGTGTAAGTTGGTACAGCCATTATGGAAAATAAATAGAGCTACCATATGATCCTCCAATTGCCGTACTGGCTTTATATTCCCCCCAAATAAAATTATTATGTTAAAGAGAAAAAAATAATAATAATAAAATAAAATAAAAATTAGTTTAAAGATAAATAAGAAGAAATATGCATTTATATTGTCTTTTGCAACTATATAATTATCTTATGGTTCTCTTTGTCTATATGGATGTGTATTACTATCAGGAGCCACCTGCTTTCTGCTTGAAAGCCTTCTTTTATTTATTTATTTATTTATTTATTTATTATTTTTTTTATTTTTTGAGACGGAGTTTCACTCTTGTTACCCAAGCTGGAGTGCAATGGTGCGATCTAGGCTCACCGCAACCTCCGCCTCCTGGGTTCAGGCAATTCTCCTGCCTCAGCCTCCTGAGTAGCTGGGATTATAGGCACACGCCACCATGCCCAGCTAATTTTTTGTATTTTTTAGTTGAGACGGGGTTTCACCCTGTTGACCAGGTTGGTCTCGATCTCTTGACCTCGTGATCCACCCACCTCGGCCTCCCAAAGTGCTGGGATTACAGGCTTGAACCACCGCGCCCGGCCTGAAAGCCTTCTTTTATTAATAGTATTTCTGGTAAAGTCAAGCATCTAGCAGTAAATTTTGTTTAGGTTTTTAGGCTTTAAATTCCCCTCCCCTGGTCCCCCCACCCCCATCACCCACACTCTGTTTCAAATAAAGTCAGTTTCTGTGGGAAAAGCTTTGGAGCTCTGATTTTATGGACTGTCTCTCTCTGGAAAGTATCTCTGAGCCATGACTCCTTCAACTGAGCAGAGTTGATAGCTTCTGCTCCTTTCCATTTGCTCCTCCCAACATGGAAAAACTACACTACAAGTGAACCAGGGTGAGGGTGACAGGCCAGGTTTTCTCATTCTGCCATTCCTGAACTAGAGCTGAAATCTTGAAAAATTATAACTAAGAATAGTATTATGTGAAAGAGATCTGACCTAACTGACTCTTTCATACTTCTAACCTCCAAGCTGTCCTTGTTCATCCCTGAGCATAGGCCAAACTGACATTGGAAGGAATTTAGTCAGCCCTGTCCCAGAATAAACCCCTTCTTCCCTGAGGACTAGACTGCCTTTGCAAGACTAACAAATTAGCCATGAGATTAGAAATTATGGTCTGGGAGTCATGCAGCTAGAGGCCACAAGATTCCAGACCTCTCCAATTGCCACTCAGGTCAATAAACTAGTTCATCTGGTCTTGTGGCCCTTATCCAGGAACTGACTCACGCAAGAGGACAGCTTCCACGCCCTGTGATTTCATACAACCCAGCCAATCAGCGCTCCCCACTGCCAAACCCCCTTCCCACCAAATTATTCTCACAAATCACCATACCCAAATTTTCAGGGAGACAGATTTGAATAATAACAAAACTCCAGACTCCCATACAACCAGCTCTGCATGAATTAATCCCTTTCTCTACCGAAATTCCCCTGTCATGATAAATCAGCTCTCTCTAGGCAACAGGTGAGGAGAATCTGTTGGGCAATTACAGAGCCTCTGCTCTACGAGTGGAGCTGGGAGAGGTTGGGAACCCTTGACTTCCCATCACACTCACCAGAAATTTAGTCTTTACGATGCAGCATTGGGGTGGATGAAAAATTCTGGTGGACTGGCACTTCTGATGGGATATGTTATCCCTTCTTAGAATGTGAGAGAAGAGGCAGCCCCATCCTCTTTCCATAGCCCCCAGTAGGGGACCTTTGTCAACCTGAACTGAAAATGAGGATGAAGAGGGTGCCGGAGCTCTCCTTGAGTAGAAGTTTCATTGTGATGTATGCTTTCAGGACACTTTGCAGAGATTTTTAAATGGTTCTAATAATTTCGACAGATGTAAAGATGTTACGCTCGAAAAAGTAAAAGACTAGTTTTAGCAATAAAGGAGCTACAATGTTAAGGAAGGATAGAGTTTAGATTAAATTACTTTATAAAATATAAATGAGAAAATACACTATACATTTTTATATACAGCTAATATATAATTTTAATGTATAAGTAAGAAATGCTCACACAAGTTTGGGGCTGATGGCTCACACCTATAATCCCAGCAGTTTGGGAGGCCGAGGCAGTAGGATCATTTGAAGCAAGGAGTTCAAGACCAACCTGAGCAACAAGGTGACACCATGTCACTATAAATATATATATATATTTTTAAATGAAATGTTCACTCAGACTTTTTACTATTTGATTTGTTTTTGCTGTAAAATAGAAATACCACTTATTCTGTATGTTGGAAGTTGTTACAAAACACAACAGCTCTTAGAAAACAATCTATAAAAATAAAATCACACTATAATAAATTTAAAAATAAAAAACCTATAAATAAAATATTTCCACAATTTTGCACTTAGCAAAGAAGCTGCATAGTGAAGTGGTTCCGGAAGCGGGTATGGGATAGAGAATGCCTGGGTTCAGATTGGTTCGTGCCAAGATTTTAGACAACAGATAAAGTCTTTCTGTGCTCGGTTTCTATAAAACCATGAGGAAATATTTGTTAGGAATTTTCATTTGCGTGATTCATGTAAAGCTTTCAGTACTGAGCCTGGAACATGAGTACAACACATGGAGCCCCCTACTGACTGTGTGCTGGGCATTAAGTGCCAGGGGCTAAGTGTTTATGAGTGTGTAAAACATGCCCTGTCCTTATTTGCTTCACCTGTTAAAAAAATATAGGCAGCTCCCCTGTGAGCATGTCTATTATTTTAGGAAATTGTATCTGAAAATTAACATGATGCCTCTTCATTCTAGGATTCTCAAACTGACTCAATCCATGAGACACGTTCCATTGTATTCAAAACCTAATGGACATTTTGTTAAGCAACACATGGTCTCTAAGATTTCTAACCAAAAAAAATAAAAAAAATTTGAAGCTTCTGATTGAGCAATCATTAAACCCTCCCACTGGGACTTTCCGGTAATTTCATTATGGTCGTGGAGTGGTGACTTGAACAAAGTACTTTCAGTTTCATATTATTCAAAATCCATTATAAAGCTGCTTAACTTCTAAATCTTTCATCCCTGAAGAAATCCCCACCTTACAACACTGGAACAGTGAAATACTAGTCCAAGGATCCAGTGAGAGACACAGAAGTGCTAGAAACTACTCCTCGTGAACTAAGAAGAAAAAGAACAGGTAAAAACTTTTACTATTTTTCATCAAGCAGCTTCTCTCTAGCTCCAAAGGATCTCAGCTCAGGGATATGGAGACTATAAGGTTGTGGCAGGGATGAGAAGAAATTTGTAAATGTCAGTTTGTTTTCTTTTTTTTAATTGTATTTTTTTCCTTTTTATTTAATTTTTTTTATTATACTTTAAGTTCTGGGGTACATGTGCAGTTTGTTTTCTTCAACATCACCAGGACAAATCAGGCTGCAGATGAGCCTGATGTGGGACACAGCTCAGACGAAATCCTGGTGTTATCAGGAGCAGCATGGCTCTGAGTGCCACTACAGTGCTTGTGTTTAATTAGGCACCAGTAGACAGCGGCTAAACTGAGAGTTTGAAATGCACTAGAATAATCTTTCTCTTTGTTAACATTGTCTGTGTTGACTAGGGACAGGATTACATTTCCATTGTCAGTGATGGAGCTTGCTAAATCCTGCTCCTATGCAGCTAAGAAATGGAAAGAGCTACAAATGGGTTCTTTCCATGAGAAGGGAAGAACCGTAAGTGAGAAGCATGGTAAGCAGCCGCTGCCACTGTTAAAGACAAAGAAAAAACTGAAACCCAGCATGAAAGAGAAAGATTCATGAGAACAGTATACTTTTTATTACACTTTCGAACTTTGTTTCAGAATGGATTACTTTCTTTAGAAATATTCGAGACTCACTAATTTCCTAGTGCTCACTGATACCCTGTCCCTTAGAAGTGAAATTCAATCCCACTACTTCACTAAAGCGCTTCCAATTTTGTTTTCTTTTAGTGGAGAGTGGGGCCTAAAGTGTCTCCTCTTTCATTCTCCTGTAATGCATCTCCAGAGAAAATATCTTTGCTTACTATAACCTCTCCATGCACTCAGACTACTTTGGTCCTGCCTTATGGAAAGTCTTCCCCTGAATTCCTTATTAAGACGCTAGCCTCATTCATCACCTTCTGGTCTGACAGCTCTCTCTGTAACCTTCCTAGCCGGTAATCCTCCACTTCTCCACTCCTTCTATTCCTCCTTTTCTTTTATTTTTTTTATTTTTATTTTTTATTGTACTTTAGATTCTGGGGTATATGTGCAGATCTTGCAGGGTTGTTGCACAGATACATATATGGCAAGGTGGCTTGCTGCCTCCATTCCTCCATTATCTATATTTGGCATTTCTCCCCACGTTATCCCTCCCCACACTCCCCACCCGCTGCTGTCCCTCCCCTAGCCCCCCCAACTGACCCCAGTGTGTGATGGCCCCCACTCTGTGTTCACATGTTCTCATTGTTCAACAGCCGACAATCCACGGCACCTCTGGGGTTATTATTCATTTCTGTGCACTCTGTGCTTGTACTTTCCAGTGCTTGACCTGCAAAGTCCCCCTGTTCTATGGACCGTTGAGGCTTCAGGGAAAGCATCATATCTGGACCGGGGTGCCAATGGAGAGTCCCCAGTTCTCCAGTCAGATGCATTTTCTGGGTGAAGCGGCACCCCTCCCCATCTTGGTCTGCTCTGCCTGGGCTTTGCTCACTATACAACCAGACCCATTGAAATAAACCTGGTACCTTGGTTGGAGCTAGGAGATCTCTCATTTTCTGTGTCTCTCTTGCTGGGTGTTACGCACCAGAGCTGTCTCTATTTGGCCATCTTGAATCCTTTCACCTATTCCTCACCTTTCTATTGCCCTTTCTCCTACTCTTTCTACCAAATGGAAAACAGAACAAAACAAATCCTAAAGCTGTATCACTGGAAATATATTCTATTTGAACAACTTTCTAGGTAGATCTCTTTATCTTCCTCTTGATCTTTTAATCCTTATTTCATAAATTGGGGGGAATCTTTCAGTGTTTGCGATTTTGCATTCATACCCTCACTGAGTTAGAGGCTACCTTATTGTGACTCCTGTAAGATTTATTGCCGAGGTACAATGAGGAAACTGAGACAAGTATAAGAAAATGAGAAGCTAATTTATTCAGCTCCTGGGCGAGGTTCTGTGGTCCAGAGAGGGGCTAAAGAAGTTGCGCCCGGCTGTTTAGGTCATGGGGTTTTATGGCGAGTGAAGGCGATTGATTGGCTATTGGGGAAATAAAGCAAAGGCAATTTTTTTGGCTGTCAGGAAGCAGGAAGTACCTGTAACTAGTTGCCATTGGTAGGCGGGCAGGACTTTGGTTAAGTGGGCCTTGATTGGCTGTTGGGGAAACAAAGTGAAGGCAATGTTATTGGCTATTAAGAAGCAGGAAATGCCTGGAGCTGGTGGTTATGGGTAGGCAGGTGGGACCTTGGGCCTTGATTGACTGTTGGGGAAACAAAGTGAAGACAATCTTATTGGCTATTAAGAAGCAGGAAATACCTGGAGCTAGTGGTTATGGGTAGGCGGGCCTTCCAGGGGCATACAGAGCAGACTGCTACCAGGCAGGGTCTGATGGGGCTTCTTAAAAAAAATTTTCCTGCAGGGTTTATCAACAGTGGGCTGGGGGTTGAATGTATAATTTAGTGCTGAATGTGGGCTTGGGTCTGGTATGTGGAGGTGGGTGTGGGGAAGCCATGCGGCAAGGCCAGATAATGAGCTTGGGTGATGACACAGTTATCAGGCGCTGAGAGAGATGGATGTGTCCATTTAACCCTCTGCAAGGCAGCCGGCCTTACAACTCCCTAGCCATATGGTTCACATGGTTTTACAGTTTTATAAAATTTGAAAAAGTATGTTACATTGTTTCCACTTTCAGAAGGGCACTGTGAGAAGTTTTGTGGATACTCATTGCAGTGAAATAAGTATAACCAGTTGAAGATGGAGGAAGACCATATTTTAAAAATCTTTGAAAATTGTTCTAAGGGTAAACATCAAACTATGAACACTGATTCACTGTGTTGGATATATATTCACTGTAAGAATTAATAAGTAAATCATATTGAATTTCTTACATATAGCCAGGATGAAAAATAAATCCTCTAAATCCTATTCTATCTTCCATTAACTAGTGTAAATATTTAATAAGGATCCAAAAAGAAAGTTTCCCACAATAAATTAAATAAAATATTTGGTTTGTGAGAGTAGTTGAGTGTTGATAAGTCAATGTCCTGCCAACATTTTTTATAATGAGCTACTTTGATAATACTTCCATAACTTCCTTAAATGATACAGATTTTGCCTCATCTCTCTTGCTGTCACACACAAAACTTTTGGCCATACTGGGGAATTTTATGTTTCTCCCTTATAATTGCAAAACACTAAAAATTCTCATTTATTTCACTTCTTTTCTTGCAGACAAGGGAATACCCCGGCCATGGAGTCAGAGATTCATATGACAGGCCCAATGTGCCTCATTGAGAACACTAATGGGCGACTGATGACGAATCCAGAAGCTCTGAAGATCCTGTCTGCAATTACGCAGCCTGTGGTGGTGGTGGCGATTGTGGGCCTCTACCGCACAGGCAAATCCTACCTGATGAACAAGCTGGCTGGGAAGAAAAAGGGTGAGTGACACCAGCAAAGCTCTGCCAAGTCCCTTCTGTCCCCTGCACAGTCAGCATCCATTAGAAGGATGTGAGGAAAGTTAGAGATGAGGATGAATACTGAAAGCTAACTTTCCATTCAGAGTCAGGCTCCTTATCTTCATGCTGTCCTAGGGGATAAGATTCAAGTCATTAATTATTCCCATGATACCTTAGTTTCCCTTTCAAAAGCACAAATTATGCCTTTCCTAAAAAGAGTAAGACAATAATAAAAATAATTTATGTACATAATAACTATAATAAACTATACAATGTTTATTATAATTTTTATGCAATAACAGCAAGTTTACACTGAACTTTATAAGGCTTAAAAAATGTTTCGGTCTGTATTGGATATTCTTTTTTAATTGTTGTAAAAAAAAAAAAACCATGAAATTTACCCTAATAACCATTTTAAGTATACAGCTCTGTGGCATTAATTAAATTCACATTAATTCACATTGTTATGCAACTGACCTCTCTCCATATCCAGAACTTTTTCATCTTGCCTAACAGAAACTCTGTACTAATTAAACAAAAGCTCCACATCAACTCGTCGCCTGCCATCATTCTACATTCTATCTCTATGAATTTGACTACTACAAAAGCCCCACATAAGTGGAATCATTCAGTATTTGTTCTTTATGAATGGATTATTTCAATTCATATGTCTTCAAGGTTCATCAGTGTGGTAGCATGTGTCAAAACTTCCTTTTTAAGGCTGAGTAATTTTATGTGTATAATAATTTGTTTATCTGCTCATCTGTCAATGGACACTTGGATTGCTTCCAACTTTTATCTATTATAAATAATACTAATAGGAACATGAGTGTCTGAATATCTGTTCAAGTCCCTGCTTTCCCTTCTTTTGGGAAGATACCCAGAAGGGGAATTGCTGACTCATGCAGTCATTCCATGATCACTTTTTTTGAGGTATCACTATACCATTTTCCACGGTGACTGCACCATTTTACATTCCCAACAGAAATGCACAAGAGTTCTAATTTCTCTACATCCTCATCAACATTTTTTTTATTTTCAGTTTTGGTTTTTTGATAGTAGACATACGAATGGATGTTAAATAGTATCTCATTGTGGTTTTGGTTTTCACTTCCCTAATGACTAGTGATACTGAGCATCTTTTCATGTGCTTATTGAGCACTTGTATATCTTCTTTGGGAAAATATCTATTCAAGTCCTTTTTCATTTATTAATCTGACTGTTTATTTGTGTTGCTTTGTAAATTTTTTCTATATTTTCTAGCTATCACTCCCTTATCATATACATGTTTAGCAAATATTTTCTTACATTCTATGTGTCGCCTTTTTTAACTCTGTTGCTGGTGTCTGTTAATACACAACAGTGTTTAATTTTTATGAAGCCCAACTAATCTATTTTTTCTTTTGTTGTCTATACTTTTGGATTCTTATTTTAAAAAAATCATTGCCAAATCCAATATTATTAAACTTTTACCCTTGTTTTTCTTCTACAACTTTTATAGTTTTCACTCTAATATTCGTTCTTTGATCCATTTTGAGTTCGTATTTGTAAGTTATAAGGTAACAGCCCAACTTTTTTTAAGGAGATAATGTCATTTGTTAAAGAGATTCTCCTTTCTTCATTAAATAATCTTGACACCTGTATTGGAAATCATTTGACCATATATGTCAGAGTTTATTTATGGGCTCTCTATTCTATTCCATTGGTTTATATGTCAGTCTTTATACCAGTACCACACATAGTATTGTAATAGGTTTCAGAACTCAGAAACTGTTAGACTCCAACTTTACTCTTCCTTTTTCACGTTGTTTCCATAATTAGGGGATCTCTGGAAATCTCATATGAAAGTTTGGTGGATTTTTCTATTTACACAAAGTAATTGGAAAATGGTAAGAATTACATCAAACTTGTACATCAATTTGGGTAGTAGTGACATCTTAAGAATATTAAGTTTTCCAAGCCATAAACATAGGATGTCTTTCTAATAATTTATGTCAGCTATAATTTCTTTAAAGGGTGTTTGAAGTTTTCACTCTACAAGTTTTTCACCTGCTTGGTTAAGTTTATTCTTAGGTAGTTTATTCTTTCAGTGCTGTTAAATGGGATTGTTTTTGAAATTTCCTTTTGTTTTGTTTCAGAAAGGAAATTAGAATTTCTGTTCTAATTCTATTTTTATACATTAGCAACTGATTTCTCAATATTGACTTTGCATGCTGCAACTTTAAGGAATTCTTTTAGTAGTTCTAATAGTTTTTTGTGGAATATTTAATATTTTCTACAAATTAGATTTAGATAGTATCATCAGCAGAGATAATTTTACTTTTTCGTTACCAATTAGTATGCCTCCTTTATGTTTTTCCTGTCTAATTACTCTGTATAGGACTTGTAGTATTCTCTGGAACACAATTGGCAAAAGTAGGTATCCTTTTCTTGTTCCTGATATCATAGGAAAAGCCATGATGTTTTCATCACTAATTGGAAATGAGCTGTGGGTTTTTTATATATGGCCTTTATTATGTCAAGGTACTGTCTTTCTATTTCTATTTTGCTGATTGTTTTTTATCATGAAAGCCTTCTGATTTTTTCCTTGCATTCGATATTCAAATTTCCTATTTCTTTGATTATAAGTAAGGTGAATACTGATTCTTCTTTCGGTTCTCTCTTGACCTTGAATACACTACTTTTTCCTTCAATTGCCAGTACTGCCTGTTACTAAATCTCTATCTCTGATCTCTCTCCTTTGCAGGCTTCTCTCTGGGCTCCACGGTACAGTCTCACACTAAAGGAATCTGGATGTGGTGTGTGTCCCATCCCAAGAAGCCTGACCACATCCTAGTTCTGCTGGACACTGAGGGCCTGGGAGATGTAGAGAAGGTAAGATGATTCACTTGTGGAGTGAGCTCCTCTTCTCTGATTATTTTATGCACTGTTTAATTGTTTATTAACTGTTAACTACAAGCTGTAATATGTGTGGGTTAACACAGATGCATTAGGGAGCACAAATAATCCCAGTGTCGTGAGTCTTATCTTGAGAGAACTTTAGTTAAGAATGTGGCGACTAAGCCGGGCACGGTGGCTCAAGCCTGTAATCCCAGCACTTTGGGAGGTCGAGGCAGGTGGATCACAAGGTCAAGAGATCGAGACCATCCTGGTCAACATGGTGAAACCCCGTCACTACTAAAAATACAAAACATTAGCTGTGCATGGTGGTGCGTGCCTGTAATCCCAGCTACTCAGGAGGTTGAGGCAGAAGAATTACCTAAACCCAGGAGACAGAGGTTGTGGTGAGCCGAGATCATGCCATTGCACTCCGGCCTGGGTAACAAGAGCGAAACTCCGTCTCAAAAAAAAAAAAAAAAAAAAAGAATGTGGTGACTAAAGCCCCATATCTTTGTGTTTAAATTTAAATTCCGTCACTAGTTCAATAGCCTGAGAAAATTGACATACTTAGCATCAGCATTCTAATCTTTAAACTGTATGAAAAAACTATGTTAGCCACATAGTATTATTTTGAATATTTAATAAGATAAATTATATGGTTCAGGTATATATTAATTATTCAATAAAATAGCAACTAATAGTATCAATCTTATATGTGAATATTGTTATTGAAAAAAGAAGAGAAATTTTTACATTTAAATTGTATTTAAGGCCTTAAAATGCCCACCAAATGTTGAAGTTTATTTTTACAATTATCTGTTGATGATTATTAGAAGACCTAGTAAGAGTCATTGTAACCCAAAAGCACTCATAGAAAAACTACCCAAAAGCCACATCCTACTGAGAATAATTTTTGTAATTGGCTTCTTTTAATAGGTCATTAGTGTTAAAAAACAAACAAACAAACAAACAAACAAAAAAACCTCTAACATATGAACATAGTTTTGCTACTGCTAATCTGGAAAGTACTATGGCAATGAAACTTGCTCCTGACTCCAATGTGACTTGATTTCCAGGGTGACAACCAGAATGACTCCTGGATCTTTGCCCTGGCCATCCTCCTGAGCAGCACCTTCGTGTACAATAGCATGGGAACCATCAACCAGCAGGCCATGGACCAACTGTAGTATCCTTTTGTGAACCAGAACAGCACCAGGGTCAGAAGGGACACTTGTATTCACAAACCAGCTGCCTAGCTGTAAATCCCAATGAATCAAGCACAAAAGGAGAAAACATAAAAAATAATGCAAGTACGGGGAAGAGATCACATGTATCCACTTTAGACTTGACACTTCAGTTAAGAACAAGGGAAAATGGAAGGTCTGGGAATATGTTGAGCTAATAGGGAATGAGGTCCCTGTTCATTTTGCAACATTTCCTTAGTTAGCTACTCAGCTATGTGACAGAGCTCACAGATCGAATCCGATCAAAATCCTCACCTGATGAGAATGACTATGAGGTTGAGGATTCAGCTGACTTCGTGAGCTTCTTCCCAGACTTTGTGTGGACACTGAGAGATTTCTCCCTGGACTTGGAAGCAAATGGAGTACCTATCACAGCAGATGAGTACCTGGAGTACTCCCTGAAGCTGAAGCAAGGTAACAGAGAGCTTCAATTGATAAATGAGGATGAGCAAACACAAGAAATTCTCGTTTTTGAGTTTACTATTGCTAGTTTTCTCACATTTGCAGTTTTCTATGTCTCCACCTGGCTATTTCTAGAAAATAATGCTTGTTGAATATCTGAATTAATAGATTTTATTTTAAATTACATTTGTCCTTGTTCCAGACAAGTTTCTTGTTCTTTCTAATGACCATCAACAGATGATTGTAAAGTGATGACGCTATGATTAGGTTAATTTTATCTCCCTGCCTAGGGTTTCAGATCTTATATTTAGCCACAGAATATGGAGTAAAATTGATATTTATTTAAAGAACATAGACTAAAACATGAACCGTTTGCTAGTCCAAGCACTGGCAAACTACAGCCCAAGAAAAATCATGGCCAATCCTGCCTGCCAGCTGTCTTTGTAAACAAGGTTTTCTTGAAATGATGCTATGCCCATTCATTTACATATTGTCTAAAGCTGTTGTCATAGGTTGTAATAACAGAATTGAGTACTTGGAAGGGACCACCCAGCCTGAAGAGCCTAAAATATTCACCATTTGGCCCTTTACAGAATTACTTACACTAGACAATCCTATGATTTTTTTACGTTTTTCTAGGTACCAGTCAAAAAGATAAAAATTTTAATCTGCCCCGACTCTGTATCCGGAAGTTCTTCCCAAAGAAGAAATGCTTTGTCTTTGATCGGCCTGTTCACCGCAAAAAGCTTACACAGCTCGAGAAACTGCATGATGAACAGCTGGACCCCGAATTTGTGCTACAAGTAGCAGACTTCTGTTCCTACATCTTTACCAATTCCAAAACTAAAACTCTTTCAGGAGGCATCAAGGTCAACGGCCCTCGTAAGTCCCCTTCCTAGTACTTCCTCTCATTGTTTAAGACTGGAGGAGCACAGAATAACTTCCACCTAGGTTCAACTTTGAAAAATCCTAATCTACTGCTGTATTTGCATTAAATTCTAGACAGTGCCAACATTTCTAATATATATCATTAGTCAAATTTCCAGTCTAGAAAAAGGCCAAAGGAAAAAAAGTCCTACTGCTTAAAATTGCCCTAGTGAACTGGAACTGCACTATGCAATACAGAAGCCCCTAGACAAGTGTGTCTATGTAAACATAAATGTAAACAATTTAAATATGGAAATTTTAAAAGTCAATTCACGTGGCTGTATTTCAAGGACTCATATCTTCATGTACTTAGTGGCTAGGGTACTACACAGCACAAATAGAACATTTCCAGCATTACAGAAAGCTTTTTTGGACAATATTGTGATAAAATAAATGAAGGGGAGGACTCCTTTTTATTGGAATAGTATCATTTGTTTCATACATATTGATCAAAGGCTTACTATGAATAGACTAAAGATACCGACATAAATGAAATAGATATGGTTCCTGTCCTAATGGTGCTTGGGGTTAAAATGGATGCAAACATTCAATTAACACAAGCCTATGTAATCTAGTACAAGACCTCGCAAATGTTGATATTTATATATATATATATATATGTTTTGAGGAACTTACCAAAGAGAAAAGCCTAATTCAATAGATCTTGGACAGGGTCTCAGAGTCATTTCTAGGAAGCTTCGAGGTAATGCTGAGGACATTGATGCTGTAAGGAAAATGGTGGTATTTGACATGCTCAGAATTACATGGAATACAGATTTTCCTTACTACAAGAAACATTATCATTTGTTCTCCATATGCAGGTCTAGAGAGCCTGGTGCTGACCTATGTCAGTGCCATCAGCAGCGGGGATCTGCCCTGCATGGAGAACGCAGTCCTGGCCTTGGCCCAGATAGAGAACTCAGCTGCAGTGCAAAAGGCCATTGCCCACTATGACCAGCAGATGGGCCAGAAGGTGCAGCTGCCCACGGAAACCCTCCAGGAGCTGCTGGACTTGCACAGGGACAGTGAGAGAGAGGCCATCGAAGTCTTCATCAGGAGTTCCTTCAAAGATGTGGACCATCTATTTCAAAAGGAATTAGCGGTAATTTTTGTGTCAAATTTATATGGTTTAGGGTCATGGAAGCCAAAGTACTGCAAGGAAAGAAAATGAGTATTTATTTGGATAGAAATAATTCTTCCTAGCTTTCATAATGTTAAAAACAACAGATTAGTAATCACTTCAATCAGAAGGACCAATTGTATTACTACAGACTCGAAGTTTAAAAACTTTTTTTTCCTGAATAATCTCCATTTAATTAAATTCATATAACTGACAACCAGAGTTTCTAATCAAATTACCTGCCCACTCTTCTCAGAATGATTTGATATTCTAGCCAAATGCAAAGAAAATTTTCATCCTAGTTATCTTGAGCAGGCTTCTGTTCAGCCACATTTATTCCATATAACATCATTACTCCAATATGAAAAAGAGTTTTCCTCTAACAGTTGACATAAAGCTATCAATCTCCGCCATGAAACCCACCCCTAAGGAGAAAGCAACTTCAGTAGAAAGTGGGGTCAGGAGGAAGAGTGTGGTCCTGCTGGGGAGCCTGTCAGTTTCTCCAGAGTCACTGACTTTTTATTTTCAGAAGCCTTTCCTGAAATTCTGAGGTCAAGCCAGCATCCTTTTCCTGCTCTTTTTACTTCCTGTTTTTACATTAAAGGCACAGCTAGACAAAAAGCGGGATGACTTTTGTGAACAGAATCGGAAAGCATCATCAGATCGTTGCTCAGCTTTACTTCAGGACATTTTCAGTCCTCTAGAAGAAGAAGTGAAAGTGGGAATTTATTCTAAACCAGGGGGCTATCGTCTCTTTATTCAGCAGCTACAAGACCTGAAGAAAAAGTTCTACAAGGAACCAAACAAGGGAGTACAGGTAACCAAGACTTACCAGTCAATTATGGAAGGCTGATGACCTGCCTCCTGCAAACACCAAGGTGACCAAGATGCATTGCACACAGATGCGCTTTTTTCTTTTTTCTTTTTTGAGATGAAGTTTCGTTCTTATTACCCAGGCTGGAGTGCAATGGCACAATCTCAGCTCACCGCAACCTCCGCCTCCTGGGTTCAGGCAATTCTCCTGCCTCAGCCTCCTGAGTAGCTGGGATTACAGGCACGCACCACCATGCCCAGCTAATGTTTTGTATTTTTAGTAGAGACGGTGTTTCACCATGTTGACCAGGATGGTCTCGATCTCTTGACCTCGTGATCCGGCCGCCTCAGCCTCCCAAAGTGCTGGGATTACAAGCTTGAGCCACCGCGCCCGACTGCTTTTTTCTTTGCATAGCATTCATGCTTTTATTCAATAACATATGCAAAGAGGCTATTATACAAGATATGTCCTAGGTGTCTGTCAAAGAGTTCAGTCAATTAACTATTGAGTTATAAATACAATTGTCAGATGAAGCACCAAGCTGTTATTATCATTACAGCTGGGCTTTTTCTGTTGCAAGAGACAGAAATCTAATGATGATTGCTTAAACAAAAAGAGTAATTCATTGATTTAGGCTGCAAAGTGGCTTTACAGGACAGGTGGATCTAAGGTTTCAAATAACATCATGAACTGTCTCTTTCTCTAGTGTTCCCCCGTCTCCACAGTTTTCTCTCTCCTACCCTCCCTCATTCTGAGTCACTCCGATATTTGCTTTCTTAATGATGGCTTCATTCCTGAGCAGACTCAGCCCATATGAGACCACAGCATTAACAGTTCCAAACTTAGAGCCCTTAATCTAAACAGCACAGAGAATCTCTTTTTCCCAGTATCTATATTAGCCCACTAAAAATGACTGCTAAGTAGGATGCTCTGATCAGCTTGCCAGGAACATGTGCCTGTCACTGTGACAGGGAATTTGACCACCAAGCACACCAGGGCCAAGAGAAAGAATTCCCAGAGGAAAGATGGCAGGAAGACAAACAGGAACTCTGCTTAAAGCCATTTCCCACTGCTCACTTTGTGTTCTCTGGGTCCTAAGGCTGAAGAGATGCTGCAGATGTACTTGAAATCCAAGGAGTCTATGACTGATGCGATTCTGCAGACAGACCAGACTCTCACAGCAAAGGAAAAGGAGATTGAAGGTGAGGAGGGAGTTAAGAGATTTGATGGCCTCCAAAGCTCTAAAAATTTAAATAACTTGACTGAATAAACATGGAACCCTTTAACTAGAGCAAGATCCACAAAGATGTGTCTTACTTGTGGAGGTCATCTCTAAGTAGGGCATATGCAGTCAACAACAATGACAGGTAAGTGTATAAGGAAGAATGAGGCAACGAAATAACCCCACACAAATTTTTCTTCTTCCTTTTCCTCCACAGTGGAACGTGTGAAAGCTGAGTCTGCACAGGCTTCAGCAAAAATGTTGGAGGAAATGCAAAGAAAGAATGAGCAAATGATGGAACAGAAGGAGAGGAGTTATCAGGAACACGTGACGCAACTGACTGAGAAGATGGAGAGGGACAGGGCCCAGTTGCTGCAAGAGCAAGAGAGGACCCTTGCCCTTAAACTTCAGGTATCTAATTGCATCACCTTGAGATTTCTGTCTTCTCTCCATTCTCCCTGATCCCAACCTTAGTGTGGCAGGGAGAACATGAAGCCCAGAGGAAGGACCCTGCTTGCTCACTTGCACTTTTCAATTCCTGTCTGTCCAGCCTGAATTGGCTATTGTCAACTCTGGTCACTAAAAGTTTTTATTTGCAGTTCTGTCACATTCAGTCCTTTATCAGTATATCCTTCATTTAAAGGCAGCTATTATCTGCTAGGCATTAATAAAATATCTTATCTATATCTCTTTCTTAATACCATGTGAAGCAAGAACTATATCCTTATTCCTTAGGAGAAGAAACAAAGGTTCCAAAAAGAGCAAATAAATAAATAAATAGGGTCACACAGCCGGTAAATATATCTGAGCTGTCTTCATCACTTAGTGGAATCCATAATGATTATTTTTTTCTGTGACACCTGGTATGAAATTAGATTCGAGAAAACTTTTATGAGCAGAAAGGCTCCTAACCCTCACACCTGTGTGATACTCCACAAATTCTGACCATTTTTTATGTCCTGCTCCCAGTGTGTTTTGAGTTGTGAGTTATGTGCAGAAACTCAGTATGGTCAGTCTGGCACGCGTATTTTTTCCTTATCTTCTACTACCCCTGATACCAAGGTGTGGCAGCTTAGATCAAATTTCCTAATCCATGATTCATATACCTTATGGGATTTTGAGGATACTTTATTTCTGTGTATGTTATATACATAATAGTGTAAGAAACATGGCTGTGTTTTGGTCAAAGATAGGCTGAGGTAGGATGTTTACATCTTAAGTGACTCAGCGAGTATAACTCCACTTGATATCAGAGCCATGCAGACATAACACAGAGAAGCTCAACACCATAACCATAACATAGGGAAGGCCATCATTTGGCCACTATTGTCTATAAAAGGTATAATTTCCCTGTTCATACTGTGCAAGTGCTGGCGCCCAAAGAGAAAGCCAAAACTGTCCGTCTTTGCAGACAGAGGAGAACCAGGACACGGCTCAGGTCACTTGTGCCTAGAGAGAGAGAAGAGTTAAGTTGCTGACCCTGAAGGCAAGGGAGAGCCAGCTGCACAGCTGTGTGGGTGTGGGGGGAAGGGTGGCAGCACTGCCGGGCTAAGCAGCTGAGACAGGGCAGACAGTGTAGACAGCCAGTGTGAGAAAGCCGTTGATAAGAGCTGCCGCTGAATAAAACCATATTCACCTGCCTACGTCCCTCCCAACCAAGTGTTCTTTCTGCTTATCCACCCATTCCCTCCCGATCTCAACATGACCTATGGCATAGTCGTGAACCTGACAAATGGTACACGTGTAGGTAGGTATATAAAAAAATGTATAATGCATAGATAAGAGTTGAAACTAAACATATGATCAAGATTACCCTCCAAGGCTGTATACAATGATTGGGGTGGGAAATCAAGACTGGTAATTTAGGTTCATCACACAGAGCAAAATGTATAAGCTGAAACTCTTTCTTAACTAAAGGATTCCCAGGATAAGAAATTACTGAGCCTGGATGCCCAAGCAAAATATGATGATAATTAAAGCTAGAGAAAATTTTAAGAGAAAATTAAATAAATTATTAAATGTGGAAACCAGTTAGAATATTTCCATTTGCCTAATGCTACACTTTATGCAGCCTCTGTTTGTCCCTTTTTAGGAACAAGAGCGACTACTAAAAGAGGGATTTGAAAATGAAAGCAGAAGAATGCAGAATGAGATACGGAATCTCCAGAATGCAATGAGACCAAGAAAGAGATGTACCATAAGCTAAACACCAGAGCCTTCCTGACACCCCTACCCAAGGCATAATTGAAACAATTTTTGAATTCGGAACAAGTATCACTATATTTTACGATAATTAGATCTTGCACCATAACACCAAAAGTTTTCAAAAACAATATATAATTTGCAAATGATCAAAATCATGTTTTTTTCCCAAAAAAAGACTGTAAATTGTGCAATAAAGATGCATTTACCTCTGTACCAACTCAGGAAGTTTCATGAGCTGGTACCATTCAGGAGAATTTTATTCTTCCAGTTGACCAGCAGTAGACAAATGGATACTAAGCAGAGTCTTAGGTAAAAGTCTTGGGAAATATTTGGGCATTGGTCTGGCCAAGTCTACAATGTCTCAGTATCAAGGACAACCACCCTAGCTTCTTAGTAAAGACAATGTACAGTTATCCATTATATCAAGGCTACACGGTCTATGAGCAATAATGTGATTTCTGGATATTGCCCATGTATAGCCCTCACTGATGAGTTCAAGCTAAAGCAAACCACCTTATACAGAGATCTAGACTTTCTCTATGTTCTCCAGAGGAAGGTGGAAGAAACCATGAGCAGGAGTAGGAATTGAGTGATAAACAAATGGTCTAAAGAGGAAAACTTTCTTCCTGTTGAGTTCATCCAGATTATAACTTTAATGGGACACTTTAGACCATTAAACAATTGACACTGGATTAAACAAAGTCACATAATGCCAATTACACACTCTGTATTTATAGCAATGCATAATTTGCAAAGATGGACTTTAAAAGATGATATGTAACAAAACTGAACTAATACAATTAATTATTATTTAGAATGCTAAAGCTTATGCTACTCTTTTCTAGTTCTTTATAGTCATACTTGAAATTTTGCTGAGTTTCCCCACAAGAAAATATGGAATGCTTTTTGACATTTTTGAACCATTTGATAATGCTGTTGTGTTTACTTAGTATATGTAGACTTTATCTCATGTGTCAAAAGTCCTAAGAAAGTGGTTGATGTTTCTTATAGCAATTAAAAATTATTTTTGAACTGAAAATACAATGTATTTCACTAGGCTTCTTATTTCTGATTAAGTTTTCCTTTTTTGCAGTTCTTTTTTCAGAAAATAAGGTTTTAGTCTTTATAGCAATGGTTGGTAATCTTTGTGGTAAAATACCAGATAGTAACAATTTATGACTTTGCAGGTCATACAATCGCTATCTCAAGTACTCAGCTCTGCATGTAGTGCAAACAAAGACATAGAAAATACATAAACCAATAGGTATGGCTATATTCCAAACAATCTTTATTTTCAATAACAAGGTGGCACCCATAAGCCATAGTTTGCAGAACTCTGCTTTACAAAAACATTGGTCAAAGTTTTATGTACCTTTTGTGTTACTCACACTTAAAAAATCATATGGATTAGATTATATATATTAGAATCTTGAAAAAACTGTGGTTATTCAAAATAACACAATAAGGAAAAGGCAGGGAAGCAGCTAATGCCATGAAATCCACATTAATAACCCTGTCTTTCCTAATTGCTTAGAGGCCTCTTATTACCTTGAACTACCTCTGATCCAATCAGATGGCAAATGCCTCCTTTCACAATACAGCATGGTGCTGCTGAGCACTGCTGCTTCACTTGACCTGAAACTTCATAGAAGACCAGGTTAGACTACAGAATACTAGATGAAATGTTCATATAGATATGCTTTATATTTTTGTCCAAGATCTATTCCTACAAAGGTATAAATAAAATAAATTTTTATGAGTTGAAGTAACTTGACAGTAAAAAAGAATAACTCTGCCTTATTATTTTTGAACTGAAAATACAATGTGTTTTACTAGGCTTCTTATTTCCGATCAAGTTTTATTTTTTGCAGTTCTTTTCATCAGAAAATAAGGTTTTAGTCTTTATAGCAATGCTTGGCAATCTTTTCTGTAATATATCAGTTAGTAATGATGTATAACTTTGCAGGTTTTACAGTCTCTGTCTCAAGTACTCAGCTCTGTGTGTAGTGCAAACACAGACATAGAAAATACATAAACCAATAGGTGTGGCTATGTTCCCATCAATATTTATTTTCAATAACAGGGTAGCACCCATAAGCCATAGTTTGCAAAACTCTGCTTTATAGAAACATTACAGAAGCAAATAATGGTTTCTTTGATAACCAATAAAGTATAAGAAAATGAAAAATCAGCAAAATTAAGTTACTTCCTCCCCAGTTTGGTAGCATTAATATTTAGACCACATTCCAAACCATCTGACTTGGTTTAGTACTTTTCTCCAATATATGCCAGAGTATCATAAAGCTCTCTCTCTAGGGAGGCATGTTGTTTTCCTGTCCTTAGGCCCTCCAATGGTGTGCAAGGGTGCAGGCTATGGTGAGTAAGGCAGGGCAATCACCAGGACCCTGGATGACATGCTTGGGTGCCAGTGGGAGGTGACCTGGGCCTGTTGTCAGACTTCCTGAGGCTGTGTGCATACGGCTGCAGCAACAGTTGAGGCAGCATGATCCCCAGGGCCCGGGAGGCATGCTTGGGTGGTGAGTGGTGTGACAGCCAGTCCTCAGGACATAGAACAGTGTCCGGGCAGGCCAGCCCCAGGACCACTGGAGGGAGGCACATGTAGATGCTTGGTGGCCCTGCTTCGTGTGGAAGGTTGAGAAGGTTGCTGTCAGTGGCAGTGGCCCCAGGCGAGTGGCTTTCAGAAACTGAAGAATGTGCATTTTGGCTCCCTTTGTCCTGGGGGCAGCCTCCCTGGTGTGGTACACTGCCTGTTCCTTACTGCACCACTGAATTAGCACATAGGACAAAGTTGTAGCCCTCTGGGTGGAAATGAGGACATGTCAGCAGGCCTCCTGGGATGTGGAGATGCGAGGCCTTTGGGCCCCAGAACAGAATACGGTCTGGTGGGGGCTGGGCTCTGAAAACAGTGATGCGCTGTAGCTCTTTGAGTCTTGGGAGTGTTCGCTACCTAACCCAACAGAGGCCGTTTGCACGATTGCAGTGGAAAGTCAAACAAGGAAACACAGGGTTTTCTAGAGGGAAAGGTTTATTTTTAGTAAACCATCAAAGAAATGGGAAAAACGTTCAAATTTGTCTCTCAGTTCTGGGGTTTGGGGCAGGTTTTATAAACAGAGGGTAATGAGGTGTGATCTGACTGCTTCATGCCATGAGGTGATGTCAGGGCTGGATCTGATCAGATCACAGATTAAGCCCTAAAATGTCTGCTTCTTAATTCAGTCTTGCTCCTTGGTCCAAGCATTTAGGTTCCACCGTGGTTGCATGCTGAGTGAATCTGGGCATGCTCGGGCAATATAACTTGAAACCAGGAGTCCACGACAACAGTAAAATAATGCATTATTTTATTTCACAAACTTGAAACACGTTGGGCTGGTTCTGCAGTTTCAAATCCCATTTTTTTGGTGGTTGTTCATTTTCTCAATCTTGAGGGAGATTGGGCAATAAGCACTCTAGCACTTCCTGCTGATTAGGCCACAGACCTTGGTTAAAGGAATAAAATTGTTTAGCACTGTGCTTTAAGACTTCACTGATATCAGGGTTAGGTTTCAGAAGGAGTTTTTGGTTCAGTTTTAGGAAAATACACAAAGTGTTAGCAACTTAAACATTATCCGTTCCATAGAACAGAAAGAATGCTCAGGTTTTCTAGCCAAAGTTCCCACGTAGCTTCCCAGTCGGGTCTGTTCATTCAATTGAGAATTGAAACTTGAAACTCACTTAGCTATAATTGGTCAACTCAGCTGAATTCTACTTGGTCAATACAGCTAAGCCCTGACTGGGAGATGCAGGTGAGCTGAAAAAAACCCAAATAATAAGGTATGTGTTTTGGGTGAACTCAGAACATGTATGTGACCCCTCATTAGCAAATGGCCCTTTGGCTCAACTTTAAATGTAGGCCGGCTTAGCCACTCAGAAGGCATCTTGAAAGATTGGCTCAAACTTGTTGGCAGACAACATTGCATCCATCAAGGTATGGAAGTGGTTAGCTATGTGCTTCTGGCTCATCTGGTGTTGGGACAAGTCCTAACGTGTGTGATGGATTACATAGTTTACTGAGAATGACAGCAAGGAAAACTGAGCCGGCCCTCAAGAGGAAAACTGCTCAGGGCATTCTAAATAGTGAACAGTGTATGCATATCACACACTAGTTAAACCGATTCTTTAAACACGGGACATGTGATCCTGCCCCCATTGCTCCCTTGTGGAGAATACTTTCTAGTTTGTTTTTGATCAATGATAAGCAGGCACCAGCTGCCTGCCTAGTTTATCTTTGTTCTATGAGAAAACACAGAACACTTGTTCGTTAATAGTAATCACCTGTTCAGAGAGAATAAATATGTGGGTCAGCATCTGCTCAAGAATCTCAGCTCAGAAGGCTGTTAACCCACTGATTCCACTTTGCACTGTATCTTTGTGTTGTTTCTTAATTCCTTCAGCGCTGCTAAGTTGGGGTTTCCACAACCAAGCCAGTCTCAGCACTCTGGTCTCTTCTAGGGACCAGATGATGGCTAGGCATGGTGGCTCAAGCCTGTAATCCCAGCACTTTGGGAGGCCACAGGAGATGGATTACTAGAGCCCAGAAGTGCAAGACCATCTTTGGCAACATGCCAAACCCCCATCTCTACAAAAGATACAAAAATTAGCCATGTGTCTATGGTCCCAGTAACCTGGGAGGCTGAGATAGGAGGATGATTGAGCCCAGGAGGCAGAGGTTGCAGTGAGCCAAAGTCATGCCATGCCACTGTACTCAACCTAGGCAACAGAGCAAGACCGTGTCTCCAAAAAAGAAAGAAAAAAACATACTTAGGCTGTTTTTAACGTTTCCATTTTTCTAAGACCATCCCTATTTCTTACCATCACCTCATCTCTAGCTCATCTTCCAGTGCTTATCTCAAAGCTAAACCAGGAGCGAGTCTCCAGGACATTCTGACTTCCACATGAGACATAATAACAAACTTAGAAGAGTACAAGAATCCTAGCATGTGTTTCCATTCCCTTCCTAAGAATTCACTTTTGGAGCTTTTTTTGCTAATGCATGATGGACTCATTTGCTCTGCTAAAATCAACTATTGGAACAAAAACAAAATGCTCAAATAGCTAAACTGCATGTCCTCTCAAAAGAAAAATAGGTTAAGCAGAGATTTCCAC